CAAACATGTCCACAAAATATGTGCTTATGTAATGACATCATATAAAGACTGGTGAATGGTCAGTATAGCAAAACATATTACTTACTTTTTATATTTTTACCTTATTAACTTTATATAGCAGTTTGGTGAATGATTATTATTATAGTACAGTACTATTATTATTGTTGTTGTTTCATTTGCAAGTAAGTGCTAAATCCATGAGATATACCTGAGGAATGGTTGGTAATAAGGTTTGATTCAAGGAAGGAGAGGGTAGCTCTTATTCCTTCATCATGAGGCATGTGATATGTTCATTTTGTAAAATCAAGAAATGTGTTTTTTTTTCTGATCTTAGCCTTCAGATCACCAGTCTTTACCTCCCAATGCTTTTTGAAACTTATGTTGGCTACGGTAAAATGTATAATTCACTCTGTATGTTTACTTTAAAAAAAAAAAACACGTCGGCCACTTCCCACAGAGGCAGGGTAACCCAAAAAGAAAAAAAAACTTTCATCATCATTCAACACTTTCACCATCACTTTTACATAATCACTGTTTTTGCAGAGGCACTCAGATAGGACAGTTTAGACATCCCTCCAAACTGTGAGTATCCTAAGCCCCTCCTTTAAAGTGCAGGCCTTGTACTTCCCACCTCCAGGACTCAAGTCCAGCTAAGCAGTTTCCCTGAATCCCTTCACAAAATATTACCCTGCTCACACTCCAACAGCTCATCAGGTCTCAAAAACCATTCATTTCCATTCTCTCCTGTCTAACACGCTCATGCACGCTTGCTGTAAGTCCAAGCCCCTCGCCCACAAAAACTTCTTTACCTTTTTGGATACGACTCCTACCCCGCCTTCCTTCCCCAGTAGATTTATATGCTCTCCAAGTCATTCTACTTTGTTCCATTCTCTCTAAATGACCAAACCACCTCAACATCCCCTCTTAGCCTCCCACTAATACTTTTAGTAACTCCACACCTCCTCCAAATTTCCACACTACGAATTCTCTGCATATTTACACCACACATTGCCCTTAGACACAACATCTCCCCTGCCTCCAGCCACCTCCTTGCTGCAGTATTTACAACCCATACTTCACACCCACATAAGAGTGTTGGTACCACTATACTCTCGCTCTCGTACATTCCCTTCTTTGCCTCCATGGATAACATTCTTTGTCTCCACAGATGCCTCAACACACCACACCTCTTTTCCTTCAATTCTATGGTTTACCTCATCCTTCATAAACCCACCCACGGACAAGTCAACTCCCAATTATGTTTAAATACCTTCCTCAAAAGACCCATCAAAGATGATTAGTTTGTCATCTCACTGTTACCAAGTGAAGAAATCTGGAAAAGAAAATAAATTACAGTATGGAGAAAGAATTTAGTGAAATTCAGTTTCCAACTTTCCTGGGACATAAATGAACATAATGTGAGAATTTTGAGAGAACATTATATATGAATCAGAATGCTAAACCATGGGAGGTAATCAAATGCTGCACAGCAAAGGAGAGATGGAGGAAGATATGTGGTGTTGAGAAGACATGGTAGAAATAGAAGGAATGGGGAAGGCTCAGTTGGTGGAGTAAGTAGGTGTAATTTCTCATGAATGCACTTCATACCGTGAGTACCCCACTGTTTATAACTTCTGAATCTCCCTTTAAAATATGCCTGAATTTCTCTATTATCAATGATTATACAAAGGGTCTTAAAATATTTTTATCCCAGCTTTAAACTATCTCATTTCAAACACCTTTTCCTGACAAAATTTATATAACAAAACATGTAGGGAAAACAATGAAGATACAGTATTTTAATAAACAGCAAAAAACAACTGTAGAATATAAAATTCTGAAAATCAAAATACTCAAGAATATTTTTAGATGGAAACTAATCTTTACACAAGTTATGTTTGTCTTTAGGCTGTGTAGGTGCACATTTTATTGGATTCTGTGCAATAACTGGAGAGTACTTTCGGTTCTGTGTTTTACTCAATGGAATTGTTATTATAATCAAAACCAGTCTCCTCAATGGAAGCTTTCTATTGGTTTTAGGTTGCACAAGTTGAAATATGCCAATTTTATTAATCAAATTGATTTCTGTGAAATAACTAGAGAATGTCTCTTCTGATCAGAAATAAATCAGTGTTTGATTTCATTGGGCTATCATTGTTTAATCTACAGTGTTCATTTAATAAATATTTCATGCATACTTATATTTCATGCATACCAGTGACTATGCCCTTGGTAGTAGATGAGGGCATAGTCACTGGTAGGCATGATTCCCCAGTGGAAGTAGGTCATACCCGAAGCATGGGTTAGTGGTGGTAGTAGTAGCCGTGAAGGTTACATAACCTTCTTCACAGCTGCTACTACTACCACCACCACTAACCCATGCCTCAGGTATGACCAACTTCCACTGGAAAATCCTGCCTACCATTGACAATGCCCTTGTCTGCTACCCGTCCCTTTTCACCTGTTCTTATGAGTGGGAGGGGTTGGATTTGAGTGGGACTTGCACATCAGAGCTTATTTCCTGGGTAGCATTGAAAATTGGGTTGGGGAAATGTTTTGTTAGTGGGATGAATTGTAAAGGACCTGCCTAGTATGGGCCAACAGGCCTGCTGCAGTGTTCTCCTTTCTTATGTTCTTATGTTAAGTGCCAGCCTTCTTGCCTGTGCTCCAGAATCTTCACGACTACGGTGCTCTTCACACCAACTCGAAGGCTGAGGGACTGATTACCTCATCTTTTGTATACAGTTCTTTTGTCTTCCAATTATATCCTTGAATTTGTATTATAGTCACTGGATGGCGAAAGATCTACAATAAGATACCCAGATGTTGCACACGTGTCTAATTTTTATATTTTATTATCCAAGAAATAGAATAGAACTTCCAATTTTTGTGTGATGATGGATTCAGAATGAAGGGCAGTTGTTTTTTAGAAGAGGCATGGGGGGCTCATGATTAATGAACAAAGGAGAGGTTGCTTTAGTGGTTGAAATACCGACAGTGTTTATTTTGGACTCTTTTTAAAAGGATTTTTTTAATTTTGTGTATAATTGACCAAGTTACTGATTTCTGTGGTACATAGTTGAATGGATGTTCAGTCAATAGAATGGAAAGCATACTAGTGAAATAGCAAGGAATTGGGTCGAATTGAGCGTCATTAGATTTTGCTTATAATAAGATTCAAAATTGCTTATGTGTAAATCATGCCCAGACTGCTAATGTTGCTCCTGCATAATTCTGTATTTTTCATCAACTAACATTTTTGTTTTCATAAGCTTCAGGAAAAGATTCTCTACCATTTCAGAAGATAAAATTAATATCTTTTTAAATGCAACACTGTCAGCACTTTTAATTTCAGGGTTGTGACAGTGAAAGCATTAAATCTTACTGGCTTGTTAATCTTGGTTTATGACCTGTATGGGTCCAAAATTGACTATTTTTATAGAAGAAACTGACAAAACTGAAATACCGTTTTGCCTTTAATAATTTCCGAGTACCTCGTCTAATTGTCTTCACCTTTCAGTGCTGTCAGCTTGATAATTCAAATTGTGACTGGCTTCAAACTTAATGTGCTGATGTATTTTAGGATATTGGTCCCTCTGAGACAACAAAAGCATTCCTCTTTAATTTGTTTTCAGAGCTGGTATTTCTTAGTGGAATGTCTGAATTAATATGGGATTGTATATGTCCAAAGCTATCATTTTTATTGAAAAAATTGGGATTTTAGTGTCCATGTGATAACTTGTGAATACCAAATCTGATTACCTTCAGATCTTCAAGGCTAAACTTCTTTATAAACTTGGGCTGTTCCTGGTCATGGACTAGACCTCAAGAGGGTTGAACCCCAAAACACCCTCCAGGTAGACACCAGGTAGACACACACTGCCCTAATCTTTTTGTGTGTATTGATGTACAGGGGTTTGGGATTGTGCAATACCGGTTTACGGTGTTTCACTTTACGGCATTTCTTCATTTATTCAGATTTCCTAAAATAAATATATTCACCACTCACTATAAGCTAAGGATGAAAATATTTTAAGGTAACTAATGTGTATTGTATATGCATTTTTTAGGCCTAGCTCTATTGCTCACTTAATACATGATAGTGTAAACATGTTATCAGGCTTTTATATGCATTTGAAAGTAAAAAAAAAAAAGTTTCACTTTACAGCAATTTTTGCTTTACAGCAGTAGCCTGGAACCTAACCTGCTGTATAAGGAGGGCCTGCCTGTAACTTGTATTGGATCACAGTGATCGAAATAAATTAGTTTTTATTAGTTATCACTGAGTACATCCTGATGTGAGGCAGCTGTCCCTGTTTTAGCATCTGCAGTCTTATTTATTAGTGCTAAAATGATCTTCATTCATGTTCTCAAATTCCTTAATTTTCCTGAATACTCTATGTGTTAGGAGTCATGTTGTCTGGCCTTAGTTCTTAATCAAAACAATGGGAAACTTCTCCCTGTCCTTTAGTGAATTAATAAGAGTAAAATGACTTAGCACCAGTAAAATAATACACACACACTGAACACTGTCTTATAGTGAACAAGGATATTACTCGCTGCCATATGGGATACAAAAACTTTAGCAACAGTACCGGTTTTCTCAAAAGCATCAGTCAGTTATAAAAGAGCTATTTGTCAATAGAGTAATACCTTCACACAACTGCAGTCCTTGACAATTATGCTCTTTTATATTGTGCATTTGAAACAAAGGTACAATACAAACTTCCTCACAAAACAGGAAATGTTAGGTAACAAATCTAGCCTAATTTACCACACCAACCACATCACATACACTCAAATCTGGCTGCTAAAGGAGCTTGTTTACCACAGGAAAACACAGGCCAACCAGGCAGACAAGCCACTATGACATTATTCAGGGCACAAAATGTTTTGTAGATTTTTTCTATATGAAATTTATCTCCATGTAAATTTGCATTGAAACTGTCAAATGTGAATGTTTGCTCACATAAGCCAATTGAATTAAAAGAAAAATCAGATTTTACTTACTAGGAAAAGCTTTTATTTTACAATTAAAGACTACAATAAATACATCTCATTTATAGACAATGTCAAAAAGATGCAGAGTAAAAAATACGCTAAGTACAATGTCTTGGACTGCAGCACATACATGCCTAAATAATTAAAAGTGAGAAGAGCTCACTATATTATGTACGGTATTCCACATATCTGTACTGTATATGTATACATATATATAAAGAAAATTGAAATACTGACTGCTTTATATGCATAACAGAAATACTGCATGGCATCAAACAACTTCAACAAAGCAATGTAATGTGCATTACTATGTTAAGTGCTGCAGAAAATTTAACGAGAATAATTGTGGTCATACATTTCATAACATGCCCATATTTTCCCTGCAGGTTTACTTTGTCTACATCACAAATGTATGTGCATAGGAGGAGAAATATTATATCCAAGATATATCTTCATATCTTAAAATAAAAATATACATTTAGAAAGAATGATTTAAATTGAGGAAAACACCTCATTATGCTTAGCTATGACTGATAATAAAATAAACTTGTTGAATAAAGTCTTCCAGATTTCCAGAGCCATAATCTTAATTAAGCCTTTTTATTCTCCAATTAGACGGTTGACAAAGGCTTCGATCCTGGACTCCTCTTGTAGACCAACAAACTTATCCACAACTTTGCCATCCTTTACTGCAAGGACAGAAGGTACAGCCGAAACCTAAGTAGTGAAGATAAGTCGTATTAGGAATACAAAATAATAAAAATATTTAAATGCACACATTTCTACAATTTAAAAAATAAAACATTTTAAGAAAATATAGATACAGCCTCTCCTCACTAACAACAGGGTTCGGTTTCTAAGAGTAGGTCGGTAAATGAATTGGTCTTTAACCCTTAAACTATCCAAAAATAAGTCTACGTTCACGTGCATAGCGCTCCGAACTTTTTACTGGACCCTCGAATTTCATCATCCCTTTTCTGTACGTAAAACTATATAGTTATTCTCTATAAAATGTATTTTTTGTTAATATTTTTGTGTGTCTGGAATGGATTAATTGGATTTACATTATTTCTTAAGGGAAATATTAACAAAAAATACATTTTATAGAGAATAACTATAGTTTTACATACAGAAAGGAGATGATGAAATTCAAGGGTCCACTGTATTTTACATGCTTTTTTTTTTTTTTTTTTTTTTCAACAAGTCGGCCGTCTCCCACCGAGGCAGGGTGACCCAAAAAAGAAAGAAAATCCCCAAAAAGAAAATACTTTCATCATCATTCAACACTTTCACCACACTCGCACATTATCACTGTTTTTGCAGAGGTGCTCAGAATACAACAGTTTAGAAGCATACACATATAAAGATACACAACATATCCCTCCAAACTGCCAATATCCCAAACCCCTCCTTTAAAGTGCAGGCATTGTACTTCCCATTTCCAGGACTCAAGTCCGACTATATGAAAATAACCGGTTTCCCTGAATCCCTTTACTAAATATTACCCTGCTCACACTCCAACAGATCGTCAGGTCCCAAGTACCATTCGTCTCCATTCACTCCTATCTAACACACACACACACGCTTGCTGGAAGTCCAAGCCCCTTGCCCACAAAACCTCCTTTACCCCCTCTCTCCAACCCTTTCGAGGACGACCCCTACCCCGCCTTCCTTCCCCTATAGATTTATATGCTTTCCATGTCATTCTACTTTGATCCATTCTCTCTAAATGACCAAACCACCTCAACAACCCCTCTTCTGCCCTCTGACTAATACTTTAACTCCACACCTTTTCCTAATTTCCACACTCCGAATTTTCTGCATAATATTTACACCACACATTGCCCTTAAACAGGACATCTCCACTGCCTCCAACCGTCTCCTCGCTGTTGCATTTACCACCCAAACTTCACACCCATATAAGAGTGTTGGTACTACTATACTTTCATACATTCCCTTCTTTGCCTCCATAGATAACGTTTTTTGACTCCACATATACCTCAACGCACCACTCACCTTTTTTCCCTCATCAATTCTATGATTAACCTCATCCTTCATAAATCCATCCACCGACACGTCAACTCCCAAGTATCTGAAAACATTCACTTCTTCCATACTCCTCCTCCCCAATTTGATATCCAATTTTTCTTTATCTAAATCATTTGACACCCTCATCACCTTACTCTTTTCTATGTTCACTTTCAACTTTCTACCTTTACACACATTCCCAAACTCATCCACTAACCTTTGCAATTTTTCTTTAGAATCTCCCATAAGCACATTATCATCAGCAAAAAGTAACTGTGTCAATTCCCATTTTGAATTTGATTCATCAAAATTTAATCCCACCCCTCTCCCGAACACCCTAGCACTTACTTCCTTTACAACCCCATCTATAAATATACGTATGTAACAAAAAAAACGTAGATCTACGTTCGGAGCGCTACACACATGAACGTAGATCTACATTTGGAGAGTTTAAGGGTTAAGCAAGGAGCATAATGTACTGGTAGTGGGTTTGTGTCAACCATCTTTAGTTTTTTAATGTCATCTTTGCGCCACTGATAACATTTCTGGTATATTTTTAACCCGTAAAGGGTCCAAGCAGATCTACGTTCACATGTGTAGTGCTACAAAAGTAGATCTACGTTTTTTTTTACATATTTTCAAATATAACAAAAAAAAAAAAAAGTAGATCAAAGTTTTTTTACTCATTTTCAAATGTAAAAAAACAAAAAGATGATCTTTTTTTACATACATTCAAATGTTGAAAAAAACGTATATATACGTTTGGACCGTTTACAGGTTAAATGTTTATACAGTAGTGTACTGTACAGTATACTGTAACGAACAGAATAGAGGAACTCAGCTCTAATATACATTATTTAGGTTTGCATAATGGTTGGAGAGCTGGTCATAAGTCCGAGTGGTCGGTAAACAAGCACGTCGCTAAGCAACGAGAGGCTGTACTTAAATACGTATAATGTATTTTCTAGTTATTCATAGGTTTTAATCTAACAGTAACCTACAATAAATCTTAAGATTCCTTATTTGCTGTGGATGATTCTAAACAGCAACTAGATACTACATAAAGTGTTTTAATTTTATGGAAAAATTTCACCCCTCATGTAGGTGACAAACATTACTACCTTACAAGTTTCTGGTAAAGTAAAACTATAGTAGTTAGTACGTGTCTCACACTTAGTAGATAAAGACTCCATTAGTTCTTGTGCTGAATAACTGATAAGGATTAGTGCCTTAAACTGATACAAAAATATGTAATTTGTCCAGTCAATTAACTATGAAATACCTTGACTGATAGAGTCTAGCGCTTTTATTGTGAAAATAATAATAAGGTATAGTAGTGTACTGTGCTATCATAACTCTTATATTTTCTGTCTGGTTCCTTAGAACAACAACCAACAACTTCTAATGATTTTGAATGACCCAGACTAATTCAATAAAGTTGACAATTACATACTTATACAGTGGTACCTCGAATATTAGCCAAAATTCATTCCAGAAGGCTGTTCAAGTGCCATTACTGAACGAATTTGTTCCCATAAGGAATAATGTAAATTAGATTAGTCCGTTTCAGACCCCCAAAAATACACTTACAAAAGCGCTTACAAAAATACACTTACATAATTGTTCGAGTTGGGAGCTGTTCGAAATTCAAGGTACCAGTGTAAATTAAAATGTAAATACCCTTGGGTTAGACAAATTCACAAAGTACAGTAGTACCTCAAGTTTCGAACTGCTCCCAACTCGACCAATTATGTAAGTGTATTATTGTAAGTGCTTTTGTAAGTGTATTTTTGGGGGTCTGAAACAGACTAATCTAATCTACATTATTCCTTGTGGGAACAAATTCGTTCGGTAACGGCACTTGAACAGCCTTCTGGAACGAAGAAAGTTCTAAACTCGGGGTACCACTGTAACTTTATGAAAGTTTTGGAGCACAGTCCATACAATAAGATTTGAAGAGCTGATTTCATCCTGTGTCAGAAATTTCCAAAATGATAGAGTGACTGAGACATGGCATTATACATTTTTAAACTCACAAATGTTGTCTACATCATGTTGTATTTTCCACCAAACTGGGTTAGTGACCTAGCCTGACTTTAATAAATTAATGCAATACAGTATAATACAGATTAGCCTTACTTCTGTGATGGTCAAGCTCGTTCCTACAGCATTCTTGCAACAATGAATTTACTCCTCGTATATACACTATACGTATATTTATGGGCAAAGAAATTTAATTAAGTACGTATTTTGTAATGTTTTCATAGACTTGTTGTCTCACTCTGTGATGATGATATCTTTATAAATTTCACTATGTGTAGGATAGATCATAAGATGGTACTTTCCAAGTACAGTATGATTGCAACTCCAGCTCTGCTTAAACAAAATTCTTATAAAGCTCCTGTAGCTACTGAAACCTTAGTGGCATGCTTGATGAAATTCTCAGGGCTTTACTGAAGCCTCCTAGGCTGGCTGACAGATTTCATCACTTCAGATAAGTAACCAATTATGTGTGATAGAATATGACATGGAGACATGGATAGTGATATGTTGTAGCTACAATGAGAATAAAAGGTAGATGGGATATAAGGAGAATAGAAGCATCAGGGAAGAGATAGGTGAAGGTTTATAAACTAAAAGAGGAGGCAGTTAGGGTAAGATATAAACAGCTATTGGAGGATAGATGGGCTAATGAGAGCATAGGCAATGGAGTCGAAAAGGTATGGGGTAGGTTTAAAAATGTAGTGTTAGAGTGTTCAGCAGAAGTTTGTGGTTACAGGAAAGTGGGTGCGGGAGGGAAGAGGAGCGATTGGTGGAATGATGATGAAAAGATAGTAGTAAAGGAGAAAAAGTTAGCATATGATAAGTTTTTACAAAGTAGAAGTGATGCAAGGAGGGAAGATTATATGGAGAAAAAGAGAGAGGTTAAGAGAGTGGTGAATCAATGTAAAAAGAGAGCAAATAAGAGAGTGGGTGAGATGTTATCAACAAATTTTGTTGAAAATAAGAAAAAGTTTTGGAGTGAGATTAACAAGTTAAGGAAGCCTAGAGAACAAATGGATTTGTCAGTTAAAAATAGGAGAGGAGAGTTATTAAATGGAGAGTTAGAGGTATTGGGAAGATGGAGGGAATATTTTGAGTAATTGTTAAATGTTGATGAAGATAGGGAAGCTGTGATTTCGTGTATAGGGCAAGAAGGAATAACATCTTGTAGGAGTGAGGAATAGCCATTTGTGAGTTTGGAGGAAGTTTGTGAGGTAGTAGGTAAAATGAAAGGGGATAAGGCAGCTGGGATTGATGGGATAAAGATAGAAATGTTAAAAGCAGGTGGAGATATAGTTTTGGAGTGGTTGGTGCTATTATTTAATAAATGTATGGAAGAGGGTAAGGTACCTAGGGATTGGCAGAGAGCATGCATAGTTCCTTTGTATAAAGGCAAAGGGGACAAAAGAGAGTGCAAAAATTATAGGGGGATAAATCTGTTGAGTATACCTGGTAAAGTGTATGGTAGAGTTATTATTGAAAGAATTAAGAGTAAGACGGAGAATAGGATAGCAGATGAACAAGGAGGCTTTAGGAAAGGTAGGGGGTGTGTAGACCAGGTGTTTACAGTGAAACATATAAGTGAACAGTATTTAGATAAGGCTAAAGAGGTTTTTGTGGCACTTATGGATTTGGAAAAGGCGTATGACAGGGTGGATAGGGAGTCAATGTGGCAGATGTTGCAGGTGTATGGTGTAGGAGGTAGGTTACTGAAAGCAGTGAAAAGTTTTTACGAGGATAGTGAGGCTCAAGTTAGAGTATGTAAGAAAGAGGGAGATTATTTCCCAGTAAAAGTAGGCCTTAAACAAGGATGTGTGATGTCACCGTGGTTGTTTAATATATTTCTAGATGGGGTTGTAATTGAAGTAAATGCGAGGGTCTTGGCAAGAGGCGTGGAGTTAAAAGATAAAGAATCACACATAAAGTGGGAGTTGTCACAGTTGCTCTTTGCTGATGACACTGTGCTCTTGGGAGATTCTGAAGAGAAGTTGCAGAGGTTGGTGAATGAATTTGGTAGGGTATGCAAAAGAAGAAAATTAAAAGTGAATACAGGAAAGAGTAAGGTTATGAGGATAACAAAAAGATTAGGTGATGAAAGATTGGATATCAGATTGGAGGGAGAGAGTATGGAGGAGGTGAATGTATTCAGATATTTGGGAGTGGACGTGTCAGTGGATGGGTCTATGAAAGATGAGGTGAATCATAGAATTGATGAGGGGAAAAGGGTGAGCGGTGCACTTAGGAGTCTGTGGAGACAAAGAGCTTTGTCCTTGGAGGCAAAGAGGGGAATGTATGAGAGTACAGTTTTACCAATGCTCTTATATGGGTGTGAAGCATGGGTGATGAATGTTGCAGCGAGGAGAAGGCTGGAGGCAGTGGAGATGTCATGTCTGAGGGCAATGTGTGGTGTGAATATAATGAAGAGAATTCGTACTTTGGAAGTTAGGAGGTGCAGGATTGCCAAAACTGTTGTCCAGAGGGCTGAGGAAGGGTTGTTGAGGTGGTTCGGACATGTATAGAGAATGGAGCGAAACAGAATGACTTCAAGAGTGTATCAGTCTGTAGTGGAAAGAAGGCGGGGTAGGGGTCGGCCTAGGAAAGGTTGGAGGGAAGGGGTAAAGGTTTTGTGTGCGAGGGGCTTGGACTTCTAGCGGGCATGCATAAGCGTGTTTGATAGGAGTGAATGGAGACAAATGGTTTTTAATACTTGACGTGCTGTTGGAGTGTGAGCAAAGTAACATTTATGAAGTGATTCAGGGAAACCGGCAGGCCGGACTTGAGTCCTGGAGATGGGAAGTACAGTGCCTGCACTCTGAAGGAGGGGTGTTAATGTTGCAGTTTAAAAACTGTAGTGTAAAGCACCCTTCTGGCAAGACAGTGATGGAGTGAATGATGGTGAAAGTTTTTCTTTTTTGGGCCACCCTGCCTTGGTGGGAATCGGCCAGTGTGTTAATAATAATAAAAAAAACATGGATAGTGTCTGTTTTCAACTTTTCACTTCGTAACTATTTTATACATCAGCAGTGCTGATGTATAAAATTCTGTTCCAATACAAAAATCTGAAATCTGATTATGAAATTATCTAGAACCCTTAAAAGGAACTAATGTATAACTATTTAAAAAGAAAATGAGGTTATACACCTCAAAAACAGGCCACAAGAGCCAGACCCTATGAAAGATTAACTCACTTGTATGTATCCTATCTTTAATTAATTTTAAGCTCAAAATGATACAGGGGGCCTCTAAATAAATTATGTATAGAGATTATTATAGGTACTGTAAAACTCAAGATGAATAAGTTTACAAGATATAATATAGTGTGCCATGACAGTAGTTTTCTAGACTGTATGTTGGTGGATGAAAGGCTTGAGTAAACTTTTGGATATGCACATATTTTAGAGGAATGACTGATTTTTCAGATCACAGAATGGAAACTACAGAAAAAGCATATGAAGTATAATGAGAAGTGATTCAGTGTATAAGGAAGAAACAAAAATGAATGTGGGATATCCAGTGTTAGGGTGCACAGAAATTTGTATTTACAGTTATAGGAGGGTGGGTGTGGTGGTAAGAGAAATAACTGTGGGTTGATGTAAAGAGGGTAGTAAGGGAGAAAAAAGTCATATCAGAGGCTTTTATGATATAAAAGTGATATATGGGACACACAGTAGATGTAAGAGAACAAGAGGTAAAACGAGTGGTGAGGGAGTGTAAAAGGAGAGCTATTGAAAGACAGGGCAAGTCTTTATCAGCAAATTTTGCTGAGAATTAAAGTTGGAAAATGAAAGAAGGAATAAGTCAGATGGGAAGAAAGAGGGTACAAGGAAGATGGAGAAAATGTTTTGAAGTTATTATATGTTCATGATGAAAGTGAGGCAGTAAACATGTGCTGGGGAGCAACATTATCTGGTAGGAATAAGAAGAGCTAGAGGTGATTGCGGGAAGGTAAGACAATAGGTAAATTGAAAGAAGTAAAGTAGCTAAGACAGATGAGATTAAGCTCGAGGTGAAAAGCAGGTAGGAATATAGTTTTAAATCTGATGCAAAGCAAGAGTTGTCACAGTTGCTTTTTGCCAATGATTTTTTTGTGTGTGGGGGGGGGGGGGTGAGAATCTGCAGAGTATTGGCAAAGGTTGGTAAAGAAATTTAGGAGGGGTGTGAACATAAAAGTGAACATAAAAAAAAGGCAAGGTAGCAAGAGCAACAAATAGCTTAGGCAATGAAAAATTGGATACTGAATTTGAGAGTGGAAGTGGGTCTACAATTTAGAGTGGAAGTGGGTCTACAAAACACAGGAACCATAGAACAAACTAAGGGAAAGAGGTAGCTGATGTGCTGAGGTCAGCGACTGAAGAAAAAAGTTATTTTATAGATGCAAAAAGGGGGATGTATCAAAGTATAGTAGTATCAATACTTATGAAAGTCTGAGGCATGGGCTTTAAAAGTTGTAGCAAGGATGAAGATGGAGGCAATAGATATGAAGTATGTAAGAACTGTTGAAGTGGTTTGCACATACAAAGAGGATGGAAAGAAGGATAGGGAGACATCCCAAGACAGTTTGACAAGAGGGTAACTCATTACCAGAGAGAGTGGATTAACAACATACTGCTGATGCATCAAGTTTTGATTCCTGGAAATGGGAAGTACAATGCAGCACTCTGAAGGAGTGGCGGTGTTAATGTTGCAGTTTTATAACTGTAGTTTAAGCATGCCTCTGGCAAGACAGTGATGGAGTGAATGATGATGAGTTTTTCTTTTTCGGGCCACCCTGCCTTGGTGGGAAATGGCCAATGTGTTTAAAAAGTAATATGATTATGAAATTAGCCAAAGCTTTTAACCCTTTGACTGTTTTGGTCATATATATATACACGTCTTACGCGCCACTGTTTCGGACGTATTTATACGGGTAAATTCTAGCGGCTTCAAATCAAGCAGGAGAAAGCTGGTAGGCCCACATGTGAGAGAATGGGTTTGTGTGGTCAGTGTGCACCACATAAAAAAAAATTCTGCAGCACACATTGCACAATGAGAAAAAAAAACTGACCGTTTTTTTGGATTAAAACGCTGACTTTGAGGTGTATTTTCATATAGTATTTATTGTTGTATTCTCGTTTCCATGGTCTCAAGTGATAAAATGGAAAACATATTACAGAAATAGGGATGATTTTGATTACTTTCATGATGAAAACGACCTTGAAATTGAGTTCAATTTTTACCAATGTTCAGGAGTAAGCAGATCACACCACACGTCCAATACACGTCAACTGGGGAGCCCAATGTTCTTTCACCAGTGCACTGATATTATTTATACCATTTTTACAATAATGCATTAGTCTGCATAACAGTAAATTTTGTAATTTTTGTATGAATAAAAAATCAAAATAGAAAGCAATAGTAATATATAAGAGGGGCCTAAAAACGTGACTAATGAACAGAGGATATGTTATTTTAGTGCCAAGAATGTCTACATTGTTTATTCTGGACCCTATTTTGAAATTGGCATCTTCTTTAATTTGCATGAAATTGGCCAAATTGCCAATTTCTGACCACTTTATTGGGTAGTTCAAATCGGTAAATGGGCAGTTTCTTGTACTCAACTGATAGAAAAAATGGAGTTCTAAAGAAATAGCTATGAGTTTGGTCAACTGGAACAATGGAATTGGCCAAAAACAGGGCTCAAAGTCGGCGAAATCGCCGATGCGTACATGTCGGTGGACCGCTAACTTCACGGGAGCGTAATTCCATGAGTTTTCGACCAAATTTTGTACTTTTGGTGTCAATACCATCGGGAAAAGATTCTCTATCATTTGATAAGAAAACATTTTTTGGGACTTAAGGCATCCTCCGGCGGCATCCCGGCCGAAAACACCCCAATGTCTCTTGGCGACCATCGCCATCTAAGAGGGACTCGAGAGCTTCATTCAAATTCACCAAAAATTTTCTAAAAATTTTGCGACATAGAATGACAGTTTCAGAAAGGGGCTTGCAACAGTGAAAGGGTTAAAAGGAACTAATGTGTAACAATGATTTTGCATTTAGACATGTATAGAATGTCAGATTAGAATAAGAAAAACAAGAATTTGATATGCTGTTGGAAGGTGAGCAATAGGTAACATTTCTGAAAGGATTTGGGGAATCTGGTTAGCCAGACTACAGTCCTGGAGGTGGGAAGTGCAGTACCTGCAATCTGAACGATAAGTTGGGATGATGTTGCACAGAGGCTCATTTGAATTGTGATATATGAACACTATTGAACAAGTTATGGTGAATGTGTTTTCTTCTTTGGGGTCACACTGCCAATGTGGTAGAAAAAGAATTTTTCTTTTTACACAGATCAATTTAACAGACTAAGAGCTGCTATCCTACCTCAGCTCATTTCTAAGTCCAGCCCCTTCTATGGTATACTACCACCCCCCTGGGATGCAACCCACAACAGTTGACTAACACCCAGGTATCTACTTACTGCTAAGTGAACAGGGAAACAGGTTTAAAGAAACATGCATAACATTTCCACCCATGGCAGGGATCAAACTGTGGACACACAGTATGTTAGTCCACAGTATGTTAGCTGAGTGCACTATTAATGAGCAATAAAACACTCATTCCAAATTGTACCATTAAATTATACTCACCCCGTAATCAAGTGCAAGATCTGAAACATCGTCAATATCAACTTTAGCAAGGTGAACTTTATCCCCCTTGCCTCCAATGATAGTCTCTAGACGTGGGCCAAGTAGTTTACAGGGTCCACACCATCTGTAAGAGAGATTACCAAATAAAACAGTTCTTGCCAATACAGAAACACAGAGACAATGTACAGAAAATTAATAAACATTTTTCTTTTAAAATAAATATCTACAGAAATACTGTACATACTTTATCAGTACAATATTGTATATATTTATAAAAAAAATTAATATAGCAAACTATCACATATCATATACTACTTGCACACACACAGTCATTGAATCACTTCTATTAATTATACGATTTCTTTAAGTAAACTAGTAAATATATAGTTGGATATTTTTATTTCTAAAATATTTTGCTTGAACACCTGGCTTCTTCAGCAGAATGCAGAGGTGACATTTAAACTAACGATAGTGGAAGAAGTGGAGAGGCAAGTTTGAGGTGTTCAATCCCTTAGTCAGGATAGATAAATGTACAGCAGAGGCAAGAGAATAGTGACATACTGGAGCCAGAGGTAAGGTGTGGTAATGGAGAAGCCATCACAGGAGGAGGGATTCACTAATGGAGGTACGTAAAACAAATAATTGTTTAAGAAAGGTTTTTTTTTAGAAATCATCTGCTGTGCAGGCAAAACGTTTTGGCAATAAATGTATCCGAGTGTTGCACATGCATCTTATTCATCAAATTGTCAGTATGGTATACCATTATATTAATGATACTTGTTGATATGAAAGGGATACTGGTATTTTTTCTTCACAAAGTGGTAGGTCAACAGAGTGAATTACAAGAGGATGTTGTAAGTTTATTTGCATACAAGTACACATAATACAATTATCATACACAGTGTAAATTATTCAGGATAACCCCCAAAAAAGTAAGACAAGTGACATTTCCATTGGGATCCTTGTAAGTGCTTCAACCATTGAAAATTTTTAAAAATTATATTGTGAACAAAGTACTGAAGACGGGACACCATGAGCACAGCTCTGCCCCTTTACCTACAGATAGGTAATTATAAACAGGTACCATAATTACTGATCCAATGATATTAGTACAGTAAATGCACCACCAACTGCCTAAGAAAATCAGATACACCACCTTTCTTTTTTTCATAAAATTTGTCACTGAATTAAGCATACTTATAAAGTTTAAATAATTATGGGAATAACTAATGAATTTATGATTATACGTATTTACAAATTATGAGAGTACAGTATTAGGATGATTATATTTACAATTTGAGTATTATTATTATAACCATGGGGAAGCGCTAAGCCCGTAGGATTGTACAGCGCCTGTGGAGAGGGGAATGGAAGGTATTTAGGCTTAATTCAGGGAATTGGAGCACAGATCCAATTTCCTAGATCAAGAGCCCCTCACCAGCGTCAAGGAACCTCCCTTGAGGGGGAAATTGAGTATCAGGATGATTATACATACAAATTGAGTATTAGGATGAATATATTTACACTGAGTATCAGGATGATTATATATGCAAATTCAGTGAATATTAAGATGATTATATTTACAAATTAAGCGAGTATTAGGGAGGGAGTGAACTTTGGCCTCAGTTAAGATAAGTTATTAAGTGTCTAGCAAAGACAAAAATGTGGCATGAGTGTGTAGATAAGATGTTATCTTACTGAGCGTGGAAGTCGACCACCACTGGGGTGGAAGACTTGAGAACTCTGTCAGTAAAATCTTCTTCGTCTTGGACATTAAAGAGTGCTCGTACTGCTGGCGAGGTGCTCACCCCTCGAGCACATGTACTACATGTTGTACTGCTGCTCTCCAGCACTCTCTTGCTGCTATATGAGGCCAAGCGCCTTATACTGCAGCTAAACATGGCTAAAGATAAGCTAGAGAATATTGCTGTTGGAAAAACCTTCACTGATCAACCTTGACTCTGCCTTGACAGGCTCGCTGCTGCTTCTCATACGCCACACTGCGCTACTTTCCCACCTATATTTATTTAGTGTGTTTTAACGCTTTGTGTGTGATTATTTATCAGATAAATTAATTATATTAGATATTATAATTTATATATGAGTTTTAAGTATTTTTATGAAAGGTTGCAAGGTGTTTTATGGTTATTCTCATCGTTCTTGAATGTAAAAGGCTTCGTCTGCTGGTGCTCCTGAGGGATGAGAACGAGGCACGACACAGCTGATTTGCATGAAAGCATTATTAATTAATATTTTATCCCTTTATTCCTTTCCACTTTAATATTTAGTCACTTGGTATGCAAAATGGGATATTATTTCTCGAGAAAAATATTCTTTAACACTCTCTACCTCTAGAAGCATCGATTTTAACTAAACTTTAATTCTCAGTAGTAGTATCTTTAAGGCAAGGAAGTAAATGATGTTTGTGATTCTTTATTTGTAATCATCACGTAATAAAAATTGTTATAACACCTGAGTCTAATGTATTTAATTGTCCTATCTTGAAAACTTATCCTTAAAACACAAAATATATCCCATTAATTCACCCAAAATTTAATATTTCCTCCGAATTATAACTGATTCATAATTAATAAACTAATAACAAGTGGGAAAACAGTTACTTTATAGCTAATGCATAACTTCAATGATAAATATGGAATTCATGTGATGATTGAATTTTTAAATATATGCAGACGACGTCATTGTTTCCCGCCACACATGTACCACCATATTATGAAGTCACATCAAACACTATAATATCACAAAATTTATGAAAACCCACATAAGATTTCAACACATCAGTATTTATTTCTCGCTAGAGCTTACGTATTACATATACTCATCATTGGGTTGTTATTTTTTGTTCATGTGTGGACTGTGTTGAGTGTCTGATGTGACTCATCATGTTTCGTCATTGAGATTGATCACAAGTGTTAGAGTGTTATCGTGGAATATAACCTTGTGTAGCCATGGCTGAAGGTAGTGAAGGTGGGCAGAAGATGAGCCTGACGGTGAAGACAGCCAAGGACAAGCAGAGTGTGGAGGTGGCAGGAGATGCGACCGTCAAGGAGGTGAGTAACACCAACCTTACTCACCCCCTCACAAGCATGTTTCATCCTAGTATTCCTCTAAATCTAGAAGATTCGCCACTGCTTTTTTTTTTTTTTACGTAATGTACCTCTAACGTGCAGACCACCAGGCGTTAAACTCTTGCAATAAAACAAATTTTTATGGAATGACTTGGGTTTAATTTGATAGGTTTATAGTGGTGGCTGGGTAGAGTAGGCCAGCTTCTTCAGACTTTTTTTTCTTATGCCACTTTTCATATACATAAACCGACAGTTTCTTTCTGTTTTTACGCATTATTTATACAGACTGCCAGGATTTATGTTTATCAGAAAATCTGCACCATTTGACATGTTCAGTGTCGTGTCTTCAATTTCTTATTTTCCTTTGTAATTGCGTGGGAAAAAAAAAGTCACAGGTGGCAAGCTGTGGCATCAGCAACCTGCAGTGTTATTTTTTTTATCATGGTATAAAAGCGAGTACATTGCTTAGTCTGACTTAATCTTGCCTAGCTTAGACTAGCAAATCAAGTAGTGTTTAAGTTTATTTAGGTACAGGTCCTCATACGTACAACTATCATACATAGTAACGAAAGTGTAAATTACCTAGGATAACCTGAAAAATTCAGTGACTTATTTCCATTGTAACCTTGTATTTCCATTGTGATCCTTGTATTTCCATTGCAGTCCTTATATTTCCATTGCAGTCCTTGTATTTCCATTGCGGTTCTTGTATTTCCATTGCGGTCCTTGTATTTCCATTGCGGTCCTTGTATTTCCATTGCGTCCTTGTATTTCCATTGCGGTCCTTGTATTTCCATTGCGGTCCTTGTATTTCCATTGCGGTCCTTGTATTTCCATTGCGGTCCTTGTATTTCCATTGCGGTCCTTGTATTTCCATTGCGGTCCTTGTATTTCCATTGCGGTCCTTGTATTTCCATTGCGGTCCTTGTATTTCCATTGCGGTCCTTAGGACTCCAGTACACTGTAATTTTTTAATTTATGCAGTACAAGTAATGTAGATTAAATGTAATAAAATGTTGGTAGTCACAAAAAAGGGCACTAGTATGCAGTGCATTTCAAGCAAACTAATCCTAAATCAGAAAAATGGAAATAGTCAATTACTGTAATTTGACTAGGTCATCAAAAGTAATACAGGTCTGCCATCACAAATCCGGCAATCAGTTATTCGGTTCCTTCAGTTATTCAGCACTAATTTTGGCTAGCATAATTTCAAATTTCCAGGGTCGCCACACCAACCTGCTGGTACTGTTTGGTGGTGCTACTTGCTGCATAAGTCATTCCAATTTCTTTTTCTCCATTTATTGTTTTAATCTGCTTACTTTTAGCCCTAGCCATAGTTCCAATGAATAAAAGAAATGCTTCTTATTATGTAAAGCACCTACATAGTACATTATATACATTAAAGATAAGGTGGCTTTGAAGCCACTGTCGGTTGTCATGAGCTCAGTCTCATGAAACAGGAGAATATGCTTTATTGTTACACTAATATCAACACTACAGCTTATTTGCCTATCACAATTGATCTAATATGACATAAGAAACAATATAAATAACATAAAACATGTTAAATACTCCAGAATGAATAATATTTGGCATAACACCGAGCAGTTCAACGGAGGTATGAAGAGGATATGGTATACAAATACTATTCTCCTATCCCTGTCTTGGGGGCTTATATTAGAGAAAACGGAGTGTAGCACAGGGCTAATTGTGATATACACTCGTACTGCACCATAAACCTGAAGCAAAAGTTATTTTCTCAATATAGATTATCACACATAGCAGCATATGTGTAGAGAACCTAGGATAACCCCAAAAAAAAGTCAGCACATGTGTAGAGAACCTAGGATAACCCAAAAAAAAGTCAACGTGGCTTATTTTTAGTACCTGGCTTGGGTTAGCCATATATGATTTTTGGTAAATATTCGATTCCCAGCCAGGGTAGAAACATTAGGCATGTTTCTTTACACCTGTTGTCTATGTTTACCCATCAGTAAATGGGTACCTGGGTGTTAGACGACTAGTGTGGGTGTTATCCTGGGACACTGACCTAATTTTCTTGAAATACTCTGCATAACAAACGGCTTTCTATACAGTAGTATGTCACTAATGTCAGCTAGGCCTGTATACCTTGTACATGTACGTGTAGTAAATAAAGATATTATTATTATTATTATTATTATATTTTCTCAGTTGTTTGTTGAGTTATCTTATTCAAACTTGGGCAATGTATGATGGAAAGATACTTCTTCACGTACACCAAAAATGAAAGAAATCAGATCATAAATAGCGGAGTTCACTTCTCAGCCATTAGCGGCCGCTTAGCGGTATATTTTTGAACATTAAAATGGTATAAAATACCGACAGGTTGTTAGGTAAGATACATATGCAACAGTTAGGTATCTTTATTTCGAAACATTTCGCCTACACAGTAGGCTTCTTCAGTCGAGTACTCGACTGAAGAAGCCTACTGTGTAGGCGAAACGTTTCGAAATAAAGATACCTAACTGTTGCATATGTGTCTTACCTAACGGTATATTTTTGTATGGTTATGGTTATATTCTCATTTTTTCGGTCTCATTTGATAGAATGAAAGATATATTACAGAAATAGATATGATTTTGATTGCTTTCATGGCAAAAAGTACCTTGAAATTGAGCTCAAAGTAGCGGAAATGTTCGATTTTTGCCAATGTTCAATGAACTGTGTAAGTCAAGTTGGTTAATTTTATTAAGTGTATTCTAACCTAACTACTCTGTAATCCGGCAAACTCAGTAATCTGGCACACTACAGGTCCCAATGATGCCGGATTTGTGATGGAGGGCCTGTATACACTTGTAATACAATGTAAAGCAATTATGATCATCTAGAATTGCGTAGTTGTTCCTAAACAACCTTAACCATGCTGCTTGGCAATCTTGGGTTATCCTGGGTTATTAAAACTGAGGTTACTACAGTGGACCCTAGGGTAACGAAATTAATCTGTTCCAGAGAGCTTGTCTTTAACCGATTTTTTCGTTATCCTAATTAATTTTCCCCATAAAAAATGATGGAAATCCAATTCTTCACTTGCCTAAACCTTGGGCATGACTTGCTTCCACATTGGACAAATGTGATAGCATTTACGACTGCTGCACCTCTCCTGCCTACAGTATGTAAGCTACTTCTTCGCATATATGCTGTATACTTTTCAAGATTGATAGACTGATTACATCAACTAAAGGCTGAGGGACTGATTACCTCAATCTCCTGTTCTTTACCATTCTCCTTTGTATGGACTGATGAAGCCACTGTGGCAAAAATGTTTCCTCAATAAAGATACCCAGGTGTTGCACATGTGTCTAGATGAATGGCTCAGAGAACCGACACGTTGATAAATTAGACACATGCAACTCTTGGGTATCTTTATTGAGGAAACGTTTTGCCACACAGTGACTTCATCAGTCCATACAAAGGAGAATCATGAAGAACAGGAGAAGAATGAGGTAATCAGTCCCTCAACCTTGAATCGATGTGGTCAGTCCATCAATCCTGAATAGAATACAGCATATGTGCCGAGAAGTAGCTTATACATGTATACCATAGGCAGGAGAGGTGCAGCAGACGTAGGTGGTGTCACATTTGTTCAATGTGGAAGTAGGTCATTCCCAAGGGTTAGGCAAGCATTTCCTCAATAAAGATACCCAAGAGTTGCACATGTCTAATTTATCAAAGTGTCGGTTCTCTGAGCCATTCATCTACAATCCTGTCAGACACTGCAACTTCTTGGGATCTTAATACATACTTGGGAATTCTTCGCTTGCCTAACCCTTGGGCACGACCTACTTCCACATTGAACAAATGTGACACCACCTACGTCTGCTGCACCTCTCCTCCCTACAGTATATAAGCTACTTCTCGGCACATATGCTGT